ATTTCTCTGAGGCTAATAACATAAAACTTTCATCTAATATAAAGCCATATGTTAATTTAATATTTTTTAAAAAAGCAAGCAATTCTATAGCTAAATTAAAAGATACGTATAGAAAAATAACCAAATTAAGCAAAATCAGTAACCCGAGTAATTTTATTTGTTTTGCTGATATGAAACTTAATAATATGGTAGTAAGATTATTTCGTAAAGACGAAAAAAAGAATAAAAAATTTTTAAATGTCATCAAACAATTTAATCCGACTATAGAATATTCTGATCATATTGATCAGCCTAATACGAATATCGAACATGCAGATTCAACTTTCGAGAATGCAGACCATCTTGATCAATCAGATTCGACTTTCGAACATGCTGAACGACTTAATCTGACATTCGAGGATGCACAAAATAAAACTAGCATAGATAAGCGTGGTATTATTATGGCGACTTACAACGGAGATGGAATATATAATTCAAAAAAACGTGCGCGTTGTTCAATGGGTTTTTGGGCACTAACTAAAGATTTAAAAAAAAATTACATGGTAACCGCAGGACATTGTGGAGATAAGGGAGATAAAATTTATCTTTTACAGTGGGATGTAAACATGAATAAAACTCATAGATTCGGGAGAGTGAAATTATCTAAAAAAGCCCCATATGACGTTAGTTTAATAACAATAGGAACACCAAATTTCCCAACGGTAGTGATTAGAAATACAGATTTTGAACCAAAAATGTTAACTATTTATGATGACATACCTGTTTCTAGTCGTGGAGCTCACTTATGTAAATCAGGAATTAGATCACATGTTACTTGTGGTTACATAAGAGCATTCAACGGGTTTACTAACTTTCTTAAGAAATTAATCATTACAGATATAGAAAGTTTTCAAGGTGATAGTGGAGGGCCTATATTTTCTTATAGACAAGATTTGATATCGGTACATCTAAGTGGTATACTCACTGGAGGGATAGGCAATATTACTACAGTTTTACCAATAAATATAATTAGTGAGGAATTTTCCATAGTGCCTATCACGAAAAATGGCGAATACAATGAGAGGGGTTGAGTCGCCTACACTACTTCGAGACTATTACCGTAAATGGCCATATAAAATACCCCCTTGATAGTAGACCCCTCTATTATACCCGGGTCTAAACTAGGGTTAAGAATTTAGTAGAATGTAAGAGACCCGGGGTTTCTTGATTAGTAGTTTATATCTAACAAGAAGAATTCTACCTATTACTATATCCCCCCTCCAAACAATATACCCCCGGGTATAATTTAATTTTTTTAACCGGTGGAATGTAACATACCCGGGTCGTCTATATGGCCATTTACGGTACTCTGAGTGACTACGTAATATTCTACATTGAGATTGTTGGATAACATGAATGAGTATGAGTTTTATTAACTACGACTACTAAGTAAAAATGGACAGCATTTAAAAACCCTAGCCCATACTTTATAAACAATCGCTCTACTATAAATATAAACCTACATTATCCTAAGCTTAAATGAGGTTTACTCTTTTTCTTTATAAAAATTGTTATTATACAGATTTGACCACATACAATATACTACGTATAAACTTAGAAATATTCAATATACTACGTATAAACTTAGAAATATTCAATATACTATATACGTATAAACTTAGAAATATTCAATTTTTAACATAAAATAATTTAGTGGAAATTTTTATTCTAATACATTTCTATTGTGTTAATTAATGAGTTTAAAAATTTTTTTCAACAACTATCT